GGTTTTGAGCCCAGGGCTGGGGCCTGAGCTGGGCCGAGGGAGGCAGATAAGCGCTGTGAAAGCAGATGAGCGTGTATTTGTATTTATATCGCTGTTTCAGGTTCACCAGCAAGGCGAGCAAGCTTTCCCTTGTAAAGCGTTTCTCTCTAAATATTTTGCATTCTAAAGCCTGGGTCCAACACCCTGCCCGTGCCTGGTGCCTCTTGGATAGGGCTCTTGGGTGGAAACCCTCCAGGCCGAGAACTATCGCCGTTTACATTGACAAAGAGAGCTGCTTAGTGCTCTTAGGCTGGTGGAGTTCATTAAAAATAGTACGAACATATGGGTTCCCTGATTGAAAAGGCCTGGCTCTGAGGGGTTGCTGTGTGCTAGGGACCCGGCTCGTTCAGTATCTGCGTGTTTCGGCAGAGTGGGGAAAGTACTCCGTTGTTATTATTCTGTCGGTTGTATTGTGGTGATAGGAAGGGAAATAATGGGTTGTTATTTCTTTTTTAAGGCCTCATCTGTTCTCAAAACAATGTGGGAGCGCGGTGCCCTGTTTCCTAGCTGAGGACATGGGTTACAGCGAGTTTGTCAAGGAGCTGCGTTGGGTTTTTAGCGTTTGTGACTTGGAGGGGCTGTCTACAGAGGTATCTGCTCAGAGTTGAGTACAAATGTGAAAGGAAGAGAACTGGGATGTGTCTTGGCATTTTATCATCGTAGGATGCTTCTGCCGTTTGGAAAGGGGGAAATCACCATGTTCGATAGTATTTCTGTAAGGATAATTGTTTTAAGTGGTTCCAGGCAGGTTCTGTAAGCAGGGGAAGCTCACCGAATCTGCTGGAATTCGGCACAGGAGAGCTTCACGGGCAAAAGCTTTGGCACACGGGAGGCAGAGGAAGCTAGATAACCTTTGAGACCATTTAGTGCGCCAGTTGCAGCCTCAAGGCAACTAGAGTAATCACAGAAGCTGGGATAAAAAAAGGACTTTTAATATCCTGCAAATGTGCTGGCTCTTGCTTGTTATGTGAATCAGGGTATTACATAAATCAAAGAGTTAGTAAAGCGATGTATTGTTTTTATAGAGCCAAGGGCACGCTAGGTGCTTTACAGATGAGACAAAAAGGTCCCTGCCTTGGCGAGCTTACGATCCATAATGAGATATTATTGATCAAACCTGCTTTGGGATAGCTTTGCCAGCCCGTGGGGCTGCTCAGGTGGTAAGATCTGGGACAAATATTTGCATGGAGTGCAACGAATGTCGGTAGAATAGGGCCAGGAGCTAATTAACCTGGCAATGTAGCGCAGCATGTTCTCATTGTGTGCTTGGGGTTAGGTTTTAATTTGACATTTTACTCTTTTGGTGTTTCTGAGGCTGTGGCTGGATATTTGACACTAGTGTTAATATACCATCTGACATTAACTGCTTGCGTTGGATGCTTAGGCAGCTGCTGACCAAACAAATAGGGGTTATTTTTCAGCCAGATAATTTTCCTGATCTGATTCACCATGTGACCGCATAAACAAATGTGCAAAAGCAGAACAGGGAGCTGATCATAGGGGTAGAGAAGCAATTGCTGAAGCTGGTAGGCCTGTTGAAAAGTATTTTTTTTTCTGAACCTACACCTTAGCATTGTAGAAAAAAACTACTACAAATGCCATTTCTTGAGTTCTGACTTCGTGTAGAAGCCCATAGTTTAGGGGTAGAGCTGTATGCCAGTTCTTTAAAAGCAAGTCAGATTTCAAGTTTGGTTGCCTAACAAGAGAATCTCGTTTCTTGGTATATGCATACCTATATACATACATTTGTGACTGATTTGTCCTGGAGGAGTAGCCAGAACGAGTTGAACAGTGCTTGTCAGCTTGTTCTGGGGTGGGCAAAATGGATCTGTGCTTTCAAAATGCGGGCTCTGAGGTGTGTGCAGAGAAGACCTGTGTGAATAGTGCTACAACTCTTGCGGTACAGCGACAGACTTCGCAGAGCGAGGTGGTGAACTGGGCAAAGCAGCACGGAGGATTCATGAGCTGGTTCCTGGTGTTGGTGGTACTTGGAGCAAAAGGGGGGCAGGGCCCTGGTTGCCGTTTTCAGCGGTGAGCTGGGTGTAGTGGTTGTGCTTCCTGTGTTTTTGCGTGATGGTCCTCAGTCTGTGTTTTCAGGGCAATGTATTGCCTAAACTGTGTCTCTCCAGAAAGAGTTTCGGTTGTCCCAGTTTGATCCAGGTTAGATTTGCCCCAGCTCAGAAACAAGAAGCAAAGCAAGACCTCACAGATGCTCCCTTTCCCCCAGCAGTGTTTTTCCGAGGGTAAATGTCTCTCTGACAATGGGATTCTCAAGTTGGTAGCTATTAGCTTGTCCAGCAATTTCTTTGCATCTTTTCTTCAGCCCATCTGCTGCTCTCCGTGTCGTGAGGCTCTGCCTTTGTGGCAGACTGGGGGAGTGGTAGAGGAACACATTTCTTTTTTTGGCACCTTAAGGTCGATCACTTATAGGTGCGTTCTTACAAACTTCCCTTTTGAAACTTCGTGGTGGGAAATAATTTGCTGTCAAATGCCATTTTGTCTCTGTCTCGCGTTCACAATGCAGTTCTTGTTGCGGTATTTAGTTACGTGGCATTTCTGCACATGAATGACCTGCAGGCAAACTTTCAGAGGAGCGCAGGAGCTTTTGTTGCCTGCAGAGCATGCTGCTATCACGTTGCTGTTGCTCAATAATCAGTTGGCCTGGACATTAGGCTGCGAAAATTTAAACAAATTGTAAACCATTGAACTTTGCCCCACACATACTGCTTATTTCTCTGTCCTGTTCTTACTGCTGACAGGGGATTTAATGAAAACAAATCTGCGTTAAAATAAGTGACTAAAGTTATAGTGTAGGAGAGCTTAGCTTGGCTGCTGTGTGTGATGATCAGCTTTGTATTGCAGGCTCGCGGTGAGCAGTCGCTTTATGGACGGATTCATTTGGAATAGATGCGTAAATGGAGTTTCATTAATTTCTGGGAAGCTTTGTTAATTTACATAAGCTGCGAATCTCATCCAGTTCTTCTCTTGTCAGGAAATTTCACGGCTTCTTTTAGTCCCTGGGAGATATTGAACCAGCAGAGACTATTAGGACTGCAGCTAAATGTTGTGCCTTTGGCTGCCCACAGGTTTGCTCCAAGAAGCCTTCCTTCTTGCCTAGGCATTGCGGTGTTCCTGTGATCTCTCTGCACACTCTGGTGTTGAGCTGTACAGGCTGCAGTGTGTTTTCTGCTAACGTACTGAATCTTTTCACAGGGATTTTTCATCAGAGGCCATGGAGCTTTCGGCCAACGAGCTCAGCATTTATGACAAGCTATCAGAGACGATTGATCTAGTGAGGCAAACTGGCCACCAGTGTGGGATGTCAGAAAAAGCCATTGAGAAATTCATCAAGCAGCTCTTGGAAAGAAATGAACCCCAAAGGGGACCTCCCCGATACCCTGTCCTTGTGGCTCTCTACAAGGTAAGATGTGTTTTGTGCATGCACAGACCGTCAGAGGGTCGGAAGTTCTTCTTTTGCACCTGAGCCTTTTATTTCCCATTGTGTTTCCTTGATGAATTTTTCTGTGTTCTTTATTTAAAAAGCTGTGAAATGTAGCTTGCTTCGTTCGTCCCATGAGCTGGCTTGAAAACAGAAGACAGCTGACTGAGATTTGAAATTGCTTATGTGTGCTGAAAATTCAACATGTCAACACCTTCTTCTCCTTAAATTATTAAAGAATGAGACTTGGATTGATTCTTTGGGCAAAGATTCCCAGTGTCAGCACCCTCAGTGGAAATGTGAGAGGGGAAAAAGATTCTTAAAGTTCAGGGTTGAATAACAAGGTCCAGGTTCTGTTTCTGATGCAGTCACAAGCTTCTACCTGTCTTTATTCCCCTTGTAGTCTATAAAATAAACCCATTGCCATGATGCTTGATGCTACAAAAATGTTTTGAGGCCCTTAACTAAAAGACCCTGTAAAAATTTTCACGAAGTGGGTGAAAGGATGCAGTTATTAATTAGGTAGGTTGGAGATGTTTGCTACAAGGATGAAAACCTTCCCACTGGCATAATATTATGTAATATTTTAGTGTCATCTTTAGAAAATCATTGCAAAGGTTTCTATTTCGAAAAAAATTCAAACTGTCTTCCTCCTGTCCTATAAAAAGCTGTAAAAATGAGGCAGGAGAACAGGAAACTGGAAATCTGAACTTTCAGCTTCTGTTCTTGTTTTTGCTGTTGATTGACTTTGGCCAGGGGGAGAAATGCGTCGTGTCATCTCTTTAAGGCTAATTTGGGATTCTGGTATGGAGGAGGGAGCTGGTTCCAACTCTGCCAGAGTGTTTCGAGGCTTGACGGATGTTTGCAAAAAGCCTTGAAAACCTTGTGTAAGAGGTATGGCAGAGGTGCAAGCTTTTATTTGATTTGGTGGGAGGACTTGGAAGTGTCTGTAGATGATCCTCATTGCTCTGGTGCTGGATTATTTGCAGTGCTAAGATACAACAACAGAGTTGGGTGGTGTGGGTTTGAAGGCTGCTTAATTTTGTCCCTGGACAGCCCTAACAATAAAACTGGGTGACAGCTCTGTGTACGTGAATAGCATTGCAGTTGAATGAGGAGCCACAGCAAAAATTTGCACATTTGTCTTGCAGCACACAGCCACAACCCTTTGATACCAGTCAGAAGGTGTGTCCTGTTCTGGAGGCACACCATCTCACTGCAGTATAATTAATTCCGCGCCTGTTTTCTCTCACAGGGCCTGCTCACGCTGGGCTTGGTCTTGCTGACTGTTTACTTCGTGATCCAGCCATACAGCCCGCTGCCACCCGAAGCTCCGCTCTCCAGAGCCCATGCCTGGGGCTCCCTCATCGGTCACATCCGGCTGCTCTCTCTGCCTATTGCCAAGAAGTACATGCTCGAGAGTAAGAAAATGATTTTTCTGCTGTAACGTAAGCCTAGCAAGAAATACCAAGTTAAATACCAGCCATGAGAATCCTTTGAGTGTCTCCATGGGCACCGAATAACAAATGTGTTACTGGCGTGGCACCATGGTTTTCTCTTTTCCTACCACTGTTCTTAAAAATAGTATCCCAAGTTCTATCTAGGGCACCTTCCCTTCCATTCATTGGGGCTGAAACGTGTTTTGTCTCTAACGTCATCATTTTGTTCTTGCACATTCTCTTTTCCTTGCTTTTAACACCTCAGAGTTTTTTCTTCCACAAGAGTTCCCCTTCCTCTAAAAATCTCTGCAGTTCTGAGAATCATACTGAGATAGCTATGCTGGGTAAATGTCACCCTTTTTGTTTTTTCTGAGTAAGCAGGCAAGAACAGTTTGTCAACCCAAGCTTGATATCTGTGAGCAAAGTGTAGAAACCTCAACATGTGACCTGGATTTAAGGAAAAGTAGTTTTTGCCAAGCGGTGTATTGGGAAAGGACTGTGGGCTGGAGAGCTATGCTGTTCATAGCAGTTAATGTGACGTTAAGGGTAGTGTGTGTGTGTGAGGAAGCAAGATAAGTGGCTCCCTAATGAGGTGGTCCCATCACGGGGGAGGAACATAATAGATTTTCCTAGGCTGGCATAATAGAAATGGAAAAGTTTGAGTATTTCTTGTTCCCAGTTAATCTTTTCCACTGACTTAGACTGGCAAATGGGCGTAAGCATGGGTTTTGCCTCTTTGATAAAACACAAAGACTGTCAGTAATGATAAAGCGGTGAATTATTTTGAGTGGGGATGTGGCACAATGTTGATCGTCTGTCGGCTTACTGTAAAAACAAACTCCTGTATCCATGCCCTCAACAGGTTTATATTTAGCTTCGGCAGCTCATTGTGTTGGAGTTGTCTGTTCTGGCTCTGACCTTCCTGCTGTGGCTAAAAAGGGCGCCCTGAAATGCCAGTGCCCTTCTGCGTTTTCTCCGTGTGTCTCCCTCTCTTCCGCTGACACGTGGGATTGCTGTTGATTCGGGTTCCTATGGGTGGGACGGGGGATCCCCCATTGTTTGTCTCCTTCCTTAAACACTGGGGTCTCTCGCAGGGAGGAAAAAACAGGGGCGAGGAGATGGCTCCGATAGCCACTTGACATTAGTAGCCTCCTTATCTACTGCATTTTAGCATTGACAAGAGTGAACACCCCTCTACTTCTGTATGGAGGAGGAAGCCAGCGGGAACTTGAGTATTTTTTCAGTGAAGTTTTGTTCAGAAGGTTGACGGGTTCTTCCTTCAGATGCCGCAGGGCCCCCTTGGATGGAGGGAGCCTAGGGAGGCTCCTCGGGACAGCAAAAGGTTGATAGAGCAAGGGCTGACTGAACTCATGAGTCTCTTGCTGTGAAGATAAAAAAGAGCAGAAGCAAGTCTGGGCTACTGATGGGAAAACCAGCTGAATGGGGAGAAGATCGGGCAGCATCCAAAGGAGCAGGGGAAAAGGGAAGGATGGATGGAGAGGAAGGATGCGAGATTGTTTTTTAAATGCATATAAAATCGCTTATGCCTCCGTGAGTCCTGGGAATCTTCTGAAGTGATGAGCAATAGGGTGGGCAGCAAGCCAGCTGTGGGGAAAGGAGGGGAGGTACAGAGGGGACGAGGCAGTTGCTGCTCTGTTTTTCCAGCAGTGTTAAGTTGTGGTGGAAACCACAGCATGTCCCAGTTAACAGCTTGGCTAGGGATGGCTGGGGTAACTTTGATCCTGCTTCGGCAAAAGGAACTGGACTAGACCCTGGGTATTTGAATGGGAGAGCGCAGCACCCAGCCTGAACCTTGGCTGGGTTCCTGTGGGAATCCCTCGTGCCCTGGCTTCCCGGCCGGCAGCTGTGGCCACTGGGGCTGTCCCAGTGTCCGCCCATCCCAGTGGTGCTGGTGTCACCTGCACGGCTTGCTGCTGTATGGACCATGCTAGAGCCATCTGACAGGGATCTGGAAGAGGGATTTTGATGGCGAGGGGCTGAGCGGTCTCCCGAGCTCTCATTCAGCCCTGCCTTGTGCATGGTGTAACGTTTTGCCCTTAATTTTGGCCTTGTGGTCTGCTGCAGGGTAAAAGGTAAAGCTACGTCTTGCTGTCCTGTTTGTTGATGTGAGCATAAGGCCGGGAGGTCTTGCAAGCAGGTCTAGCGTTCTCTTGTGCACGCTTGCATAGGAGAAGGCACCGCGCGAGGAGATGGAGCAGCAGAGAAATCCGCTAATGAAGGGACTCGATGTACAGACTCCTCTTCCTTTCTCTGTGTAGATCCTGGTAGATGAAAATTTTGAGGGGGTTGAGGATGAAACTTGGAGCTTTCTGTGCTCGGGCACCGGTTCAAATGCAGCTCGGGCTGTTCTTGTTGGAAGCCACCTGTGCGCAGTTTGGAGGCTGCCTTGGCCCACCGGCAGTGCTGGCAGAATTCCCCCGGCCGCGCCGCCCAACGTGGTGCGGACAAAGCCCGGCTGTGGTGAGCGTGGGTGGGCCGGTTCGCTTCCTCTGGGCCTGGGCAGGCAGGGGCAGGCTGCCCGCGGGGGGCTGCGGTCTGCTGTCCCCCCGAACCTGCTCGGGGAGCAGTGGGCTTGGGGCAGCTTTCCTGTCTCCGGGATTGTGGGTTGGAGCCCGGTCCCCTGGTAGGTGTGGGCTGAGCAGCCAGGTTTGTGTTGCAGAACAAGGGGAGCTCAGATGCCTGGTTTCCCCGAGAGTCAGAGCCCCGCGTTAGAGTGGTGGTGAGGCTTTGGGAGGAGCAGCGGTGCAGGATATGGCTCCCCTCACCCTCCGGCTCAGGGTGACCTGCCTTCACACTCACCTTCATCCTCATCCCTTCCACCCCAAGGGCCATGCTGTGGTTGACAAGGGCTGCCTGTCTGTCGGTGGCTGTGGGTGGACCTTTGAGCGGCCGAGGTGAGGAGCAGTGTCTGCTAAGCTCTGTCTTGCGTTAAGTTTGTAGGATTAGGTCCAAAGTAAATTTCCTTTTTGCCTGTCTCTCTGCTGTGTTGCTTGCCGGCTTTCTCCCCCGGATCAACTCCCATATTAAAACTAATGTTCCCACCCTTTGTTTCTTCAAAGCTGACTCTTAGACCCTTGGGTTTGGCGTCCGTGCCTCCTCTTCAGCTGTTTTCCCAGGGCTAGGAACCAAGGTCCCTTCGGCTGGGGAAAAGCTCTGCAGAAATGTGGTTTGCATTTGCTCTTCCTGAGCTCGTGTTTACGCAGAGCTTGTGAAAGCCCCACTGCTGGCTCCGGGCTGAGGGAAAAGCCTCCCACCGCCGCGGCGTGCGGCTGTTAGCCGGGTGGGTCAGCGCTTCGCAGGGCCCCCAGCGAGGCCATGGGTTTGCCGACCTCTGGGCTCTACCTGCTGTAAGGAGCACAGTGGGTTTTGGGTGGGCGCGTGGGTTAACTCCAGGCTTTCTAGTGCTGTTCCAAGGAGAAAGTAGGGCCTAGGTAACCTGGATTTGTTTCTCTTCTCTGAGGTAGCTTGAATGGACAACTCGTTCCCTCTGTGTTTCAGTTCTCTGGTACAAAGTAAGCATTACAAGTACTTCCCTGTCCCCTGCAAGCATTAGGAATCATATAATGAGCTTTCAAAGTCTGTAGTTATCGGACCCAAATGAAAAGAGGTTTTCTCTTTTTTTAACAGAAGTTTTGAAACTACAATCATGGTCACTCTACCTGTTTTTCAGTGGTTCTTCCCTTCACAACAGTGTGACATCCTTATAGCTTTGTTAGTATCTAAATATGAATTTTGATGTCAGCTGGTTGATAACTGTTCCTGCCAGCCACACAGAGCAATGACGTGATGAGCAGAGCGTAAAGTTGCTTTTACATTAACTTGTGTGTCTGCCCATGGTAAGTTCAGTCCTTGCATCTCAAAAACCTCAGCAGAGCGGGTTGGTCGGTGGCAAACAGGCTGTTGTCCAACAACGTGACAGTTTGGATGTTGTATTGATAGCAGGGGTTTGTAGTGACCTCAAGGAAAATCCAGTTTTGCTTCTAGTGAGACCCAGTCCTGACCACATACATCCCCCACAGTTCAAAATCAGCTGGATCAGAGCACCCCCAAAATCAGATGCAAGCACGCACATGGCTCAGTGTTGGAAAAGGGATGCGGTGCAAGTTACCCCCCACTCGGAGAGGACTCCTTGTGTTAAATACTGCTTTTTGCCTAGACCTCTAGGGCTAAAATCATGTTTATGGGTTTTGAACATAATCTGTTTTAGAGAAGGGAATCCTGCTGGCAGAGCTGTGTATAAGCAACACCTTGTAAATGGCCTGTCACTGTCACGTCCCAAGGCCCGCTGGGTGCCTCCGAGAGCTGTTTGTGGGGACGGGTCGCAGCAGGCTGGGTTTCTGGGAGAGGACAGCAGCCTCTGCCCTCTGGCCACCTTCCATGTAGCTGGAGACTTGCCTTGGCGTCAAGCCAGCTCCTGGCTTCTTTCTGATCTTAACCCTTTGCAGGCAGCCTGCGATGTGCCGGCCACAGCCATGGTGCTCTCCACTTCTCACACTCCTCTCCTCCCTTCTTACCGTAGCCCTGAAGTGCGTTTGTCCTTGCCACAGCTCCAGCATCCAGCACGTCTGTCTTGCGCGAGGGTGGGCTTTCTGCTTCCCAAGCTCAACATGGGCTGAGCACCCAGGTATTCAGCCAGCCTCTCCCCGTGGGTTTGCAGCCCACGGTGCCTCTGACCTGCTGGGCTCAGTGCTGCGTGAGCCCAAGGAACGTGGGCCTGCTCTGAGTGAAAGGCTTGCACAGCAAGGCTGCTTGGGAGGTAAAGCAGGGTCTGATTTCTGACTTCTTGTTTGCTTCAGCATGGCCTTCTCCCTTTGCTTGCAAAGGATCTTACTTTTTTTTCCTTAAGCAAAGTCAAGCTGGTTGCTTCTTGTGTTCGTGCTTATGCTCATGCACTGGCTCCGGGGGCTGGAGCATTCTGAGGTGGATGTGAGCATGGTGTGGGTAGCAGCGCTGTGCAGGGC